GAGGTGTGCGGTATAGAGAGGTGTGGAAGTATAGAGAGGTGTGCAGTATAGAGAGGTGTGCGGTATAGAGAGGTGTGAAGTATAGAGAGGTGTGCGGTATAGAGAGGTGTGCGGTATAGAGAGGTGTGCGGTATAGAGAGGTGTGCGGTATAGAGAGGTGTGCGGTATAGAGAGGTGTGAAGTATAGAGAGGTGTGCAGTATAGAGAGGTGTGCAGTATAGAGAGGTGTGCGGTATAGAGAGGTGTTCAATAGAGAGGTGTGCGGTATAGAGAGGTGTTCAATAGAGAGGTGTGCGGTATAGAGAGGTGTGAAGTATAGAGAGGTGTGCGGTATAGAGAGGTGTGCGGTATAGAGAGAGGTGTGCAGTATAGAGAGAGGTGTGCGGTATAGAGAGGTGTTCGGTATAGAGAGGTGTGCGGTATAGAGAGGTGTGCAGAGGTGTGCAGTATAGAGAGGTGTGCAGTATAGAGAGGTGTTCAGTATAGAGAGGCGTGCAGTATATAGAGAGGTGTGCAGTATAGAGAGGTGTGCGGTATAGAGAGGCGTGCAGTATAGAGAGAGGCGTGCGGTATAGAGAGGCGTGTGGTATAGAGAGGCGTGCGGTATAGAGAGGTGTGCAGTATAGAGAGGTGTTCAGTATAGAGAGGTGTGCAGTATAGAGAGGTGTGCGGTATAGAGAGGTGTGCAGTATAGAGAGGTGTGCAGTATAGAGAGGTGTGCAGTATAGAGAGGTGTGCAGTATAGAGAGGTGTGCGGTATAGAGAGGTGTGCAGTATAGAGAGGCGTGCAGTACAGAGAGGTGTGCAGTATAGAGAGGTGTGCGGTATAGAGAGGCGTGCGGTATAGAGAGGCGTGCGGTATGGAGAGGTGTGAAGTATAGAGAGGTGTGCGGTATAGAGAGGTGTGAAGTATAGAGAGGTGTGCAGTATAGAGAGGTGTGAAGTATAGAGAGGTGTGCAGTATAGAGAGGCGTGCAGTATAGAGAGGTGTGCGGTATAGAGAGGTGTGCAGTACAGAGAGGTGTGCAGTACAGAGAGGTGTGCGGTATACAGAGGTGTGCGGTATAGAGAGAGGTGTGCAGTATAGAGAGGTGTGAAGTATAGAGAGGTGTGCAGTATAGAGAGGTGTGCAGTATAGAGAGGTGTGAAGTATAGAGAGGTGTGCAGTATAGAGAGGTGTGCAGTATAGAGAGGTGTGCAGTATAGAGATGTGTGAAGTATAGAGAGGTGTGCAGTATAGAGGTGTACAGTATAGAGAGGTGTGCGGTATAGAGAGGTGTGCAGTATAGAGAGGCGTGCAGTATAGAGAGGTGTGCAGTATAGAGAGGTGTGCAGTATAGAGAGGTGTGCGGTATAGAGAGGCGTGCGGTATAGAGAGGCGTGCGGTATAGAGAGGTGTGCGGTATAGAGAGGTTTGCGGTATAGAGAGGTGTGAAGTATAGAGAGGTGTGCAGTATAGAGAGGTGTGAAGTATAGAGAGGTGTGCGGTATAGAGAGGTGTGCGGTATAGAGAGGTGTGCGGTATAGAGAGGTGTGCAGTATAGAGAGGCGTGCGGTATAGAGAGGCGTGCGGTATAGAGAGGCGTGCGGTATAGAGAGGTGTGAAGTATAGAGAGGTGTGCAGTACAGAGAGGTGTGCGGTATAGAGAGGTGTGCGGTATAGAGAGGTGTGAAGTATAGAGAGGTGTGCAGTATAGAGAGGTGTGCGGTATAGAGAGGTGTGAAGTATAGAGAGGTGTGCGGTATAGAGAGGTGTGCGGTATAGAGAGGTGTGCGGTATAGAGAGGTGTGCGGTATAGAGAGGTGTGCGGTATAGAGAGGTGTGCGGTATAGAGAGGTGTGAAGTATAGAGAGGTGTGCAGTATAGAGAGGTGTGCGGTATAGAGAGGTGTGCGGTTATAGAGAGGTGTGCGGTATAGAGAGGTGTGAAGTATAGAGAGGTGTGCAGTATAGAGAGGTGTGCGGTATAGAGAGGTGTGCGGTATAGAGAGGTGTGCGGTATAGAGAGGTGTGCGGTATAGAGAGGTGTGCGGTATAGAGAGGTGTGCGGTATAGAGAGGTGTGAAGTATAGAGAGGTGTGCAGTATAGAGAGGTGTGCAGTATAGAGAGGTGTGCAGTATAGAGAGGTGTGCGGTATAGAGAGGTGTTCAATAGAGAGGTGTGCGGTATAGAGAGGTGTTCAATAGAGAGGTGTGCGGTATAGAGAGGTGTTCAATAGAGAGGTGTGCGGTATAGAGAGGTGTGAAGTATAGAGAAGTGTGCGGTATAGAGAGGTGTGACGTATAGAGAGAGGTGTGCAGTATAGAGAGGTGTGCGGTATAGAGAGGTGTGCAGTATAGAGAGAGGTGTGCGGTATAGAGAGGTGTTCGGTATAGAGAGGTGTGCAGTATAGAGAGGTGTGCAGTATAGAGAGAGGTGTGCGGTATAGAGAGGTGTTCGGTATAGAGAGGTGTGCAGTATAGAGAGGTGTGCAGTATAGAGAGGTGTGCAGTATAGAGAGGTGTGCAGTATAGAGAGGTGTGCAGTATAGAGAGGTGTGCAGTAGGCTTTAAACACAATTATTTTCACTTTCTCTGTACACGTGTGAAATGTCCGTGCTTAAGTGTTAGCCTGTCCATACAGATTACAGTACGGTCGGCCCTAGATCATAAACGGAATCGGGACGAAACCGGAAGTTACAATCCTATTTTCGAATTAGTTTTAGACAAATGAATCCTTGGTGACTGGTTAAGTTTTAGGCGTCTGAGTAAAGGTGCGTATAGACCAAACGCGTTTCTGCGGCAAAATCGCGTCTGACGCGCGTCTTGGGACGCTTGTGACAAATTGTGGCAGACGCTGTCACAGAGCATCTTGGAGGCGCGTCACACGCGTCCAGGACACTAGAGGGCAGCGTTCTGGAAGCGCGTCAAGGAAGAGCGTTTTGAGGCAGGCCTGCTCTGGTGCCAACACAACTCGGAGAGGGAAGGACACGGGAGCCAGGATTAAGGTAAAAAGTGTAAAATACGCTTTAAATAGGACATAAAAGTGAATTCTAATAACATTTGAGGCGAGAAATACCCCCCTCTGTTGTCATATCGGAGGTCTGTTTGGTGATCTAATAGAACATTGTCAGACTTTTCTCCAGTGCAGAGAGCGGGGGTCGGGCAGTGCTCAAGCCGAGAAAGAGCGTCTCAACGCGGAGACACATCAGTGGAGCTCTCACAATCTTAATTCTGAAAATCCGAGGCTTTTGTTACGGACTTTCTCTATTATAACAATTGTATTGGCAGTAATCATTCGTTTTTACAAAGTCATATTGTATGTAAACAATGCACACGTATGCGATGAAATAGGAGGTGAAGCAGGAGAAACGATGCTGTGTGATTTTGTTGCTGTCAGAGAAAGTCTGAGTTCCATTTCCCCAAAAGTCTCTGAAAAGGAAACTAACATCATGTTAAAACATGGACACCTCAAAAGTACTCAATAAGTGAAAATTGAGTACTTTTGAGTAACACCAGATAAGTCTCCAATAACACCAGAAAAAGTCGCTAGATATGTCGCTAGTCGCTTTTTTTTAAAAAAGTCGCTATAGGGGTCTGAAAAGTCGCTAAATCTAGCGACAAAGTCGCTAAGTTGGCAACACTGAAAGTATCGCGATATATCAAAAAATCGTCACACCCCTACTTACGAGAGTAGATACTATAGACACCGCTATTGAGCAAGTGGTGAAAAGGTGGTACTGCACCGGAACTCCTAGGAGCGCTATTGAGCAAGTGGTGAAAGGTGTTACTGCACTGTATTTTCCCAAGAGGTGTGACTTTGAATGTGTAATGAGTTGTCCTCTAGTTGACCCTGTGTGTGTGTGTGGTAAAGTAAGTGCTTCACAGTTATCTTAAGATATTTTATTGAACAGAGTTTAGCGTGAGCCGTGTATGATTACACCATGTTTATTCTAAAACAATCAGTGATAGCCAGTCCCTCCCATG